TTGAAGACTGCTGTGATCGCTATTTCATGTAAGCTGGATTTGACAGTGTGAACTGCCATAATTGAATTAAGACACTTAACTACAATGGGGCTGATTGGACCCTGTGGTGGTAGGGGCCAAGTGGCAACAGTTAATCGACAAAGACAAGGTGGGCATAGTTACCATAACAGACAACAAAGTCAAAGGAGTAATCAGAATACTCTGCCTTGTCTGGAATTATGGCATTGGCTACTTAAGCATGGTGTCCCTAGGAATGAAATACATGGGAAACCTACTAAATATTTACTTGATCTGTATAGATAGAAGAATTCTAGGTCACATGAACAGCAGTCTAGATTGAATCACCAGAATACAGACTCACGGCCCCTCAATCAATTCCCAGACTTGAAGCCAGTTTACAGACCCACGACTCCTTGAATGAAGGGGAGGCCAGGTCCCCTTGAGGAGGGACCCCACTACATTGCCAAAAATTTATACTGCTGTTCTTTCTCCCAGCCTTCCCCAAAGGGATCCGAAGCCTTTTACAAGAGTGACTGTCCATTGGGGAAAAGGAAATAATCAGATTTTTTGGGAATTACTGATATTGGCTCTGAACTGACACTAATTCCAGGAGACCCAAAACATCACTGTGGCCCACCAGTTAGAGTGGGGGCATATGGAGGTCAAGTTATTATTATTTTTGAATGCATTTTATTGAAATATAATTTATGTACAGTGTAATACACAAAACGAAAGGGACATGAGTCAATGCATTTTTTTTTGCATTGTTCCCTCCCCTCTCCTCCCACCCCTGACAACCAACAAAGTAAGTTTCCTTACATATAAAAACCTTTCCTTGACCCTCCACAACGAACTAATACTATATTTGTCCTTCTGTGATTGACTTATTTCACTCAGCATAATGTCCTCCAAGTTCATCCATATTATGCCATGTTTTGCAGACTCTACATTATTCTTTAGTGCTGCATAGCATTCCATTATGTGTATGTACCATAGTTTGGTCATCTGCTCTTCCATTGATGGGCATGTATGTTTTTTGCATCTTTTTTTCTATTGTAAATAGTGCTGCGATGAATATGAGTGTGCATATATCTGTTCCTGTTCTGGTTCTCACCTCTCTAGGATATATACCTAGAAATGGGATTGCTGGGTCAAATGGTATCTCCAATCCCAGCTTTCTAAGGAATCACTATATTGCTTTCTACAGTGGTTGTATCACTTCACAATCCCATCAGCAGTGTATGAGAGTCCCAATCTCTCCACATCCTCGCCAGCATTTGTTATTTTTTGTCTCATTGAACTTTGCCACCAGTGCTGGGGTGAGATGGTATCACATTGTTGTTTTGACTTGCATCTCTCTGATCACCAATGGTTGTGAGCATCTCTTCATGTATTAGCTGGCCACCTGAATATCCTCCTCGGTGAAGTGTCTATTCATGTCTTCTGCCCATTTTTCAATTGGATTGTTAATTCCTTTGCTGTTGAGGTGTAGGAATTTTCTATAAATCTTAGAGATAAGTCCCTTGCCAGATATGTAATTATTGGCAAATACGAATTTGTTGCTGTCATTTTTGTCATGTGATTTTTCATGGTGCCAATTTCTTTGTTCCATATAATTTTCTAAGCTGAGTTTGTTTTGTTTATGAAGTGTGTTATTACTTCCTTTTTTTTTTTTTTGCTATTGTTTTAGTATTTGGTAAATATTTGTTCTGGTGCTCTTTTTTTATTTTGATGTGAAGGTTTATCATGTTTCTTTTGAGGTTACCCTGTGATTTATAGTTTTCTTCCCAAGTTTAGAACAGTCTGTTCTATCTCATAGTTGTCTTGACTTCCATACCATCTAGAAGGTCTGTAATGACACAGATTTTTCCCTCTTTTGGGTTTGCAGTTGTCCTCATTTGTGAATTGATGCCTCTGGTTCATGTTTACAGACTTGTAGGCTTCTTTACTTTGGATACTTCCATAGCTGGGTTGGTTTCTGGGTTATATCATCAAGTGTGTTAACGGTCAGGTGTTGTTGGCTGTTGTTGCTTCTCTGTCCAAAGGGCTCCCTTTAGCATCTCTTGTAAGGTTGGTCTGGTTTTAACAAATTCCCTTAATTTCTGCTTATCTG